AGSMWGGTTGAAGRACTGGAGAGCATGGCTTTTGGGTGAGGAAGGTGTTCAGTGTGCTGGCAGTGCTCTGSGTGGCCACCTCAGTAGATGTGTTGTGGTCCAAGCTTGGAGCTGCCATCCCAGAGCAGAGGRCAGGGCCAGCAGCTCAGTCCTTGCAGCTTCTCTGTGGTGGCCCCTACACAGAGATCTTGGGTGGTTCCCKGCATCCAAGGGCTGTCCAGCTTTCCATTTTCAGAGTGTGTTATTTCTCCCCTCTTTGCTATGATTCGGGAGGGCAGGACTGGTCTTTCCAGAGAATTACTCACATTATGTAGTAATCAAAAGTGACCACTCTCTCTGAGGTCCTTCCAGAAGGACATTACCAGCCCACGTTCCCCAGAAAAGAGCATCTCACCACTCCTCATTGTCATTCTTTTTTTGGTTGGTTTTAATTGTGTCGCAGCCATTTCAGGACTCCTGAGACAAAAGAAAATGCCTTTTTTTTTTAATAGAACTGCACCTCAGGTTTTTACAAGGCTTTGGTGTGTGTATCACATTACTTCAGCTTGCTCAGGCATTTCCACTGCTTCATGGCACTAAAGTGGTGCTGAAGTTGTTGAATCACATGAATCCTGCGAATCCTTCCTTGATCATCAAGCAAGCACAGCCTGGCATTACCTGTTCAGGTGTTGGAGAACCAAGTAACCTGGGTTATTGGCTGCTTGGTTATCTTCAGAAGTGGAGTCACCACACTAAGGGTGGCATTTCTCCTGTTGTGACAGCTGCACAAGGTGTGTGCATCCCATTCAGTTTTACGTCTTAAATGGTGCATAAATCCTTTCACTGACATTTATGGAAGAAGTGTCAGTTTTTTGTGCCCATTTCTGTAGAGCAGAGAATATTCTCTTGTGCAGCAGCAGCACCATGATGACCTCCTTAAAGAGTAGGTGACTCTGAGCACCAACCTGCTTAAAGCCTCACACTTGATATTCCAGACCAGTTCACTATGTAGAGACCAAATTATCCCCTCTTACACTGCCAGGCATGTTTTTTAAACTTGTTTCCAATGTTTTGGCAACTCTGRCTGGAGCTTCAAGTGCACGCAACTGCTCAGAAACTCATAAGAGCATTTCCAGCCAGAGTCATTTCTGTAGGTCCCTCTTCCCTCTGGAGAAGGAGAGCATATTTGGATACAAGCATATGTGTAGCCTTGAAAATCTGATGTTACGGGAATACTCGGGCTTGGATGCTCCTCCTCCTCCAGGGATTTCTCTGTGGCTCTTTGCTGCTCCGCAGAGTTGTATCTGGGATGCAGCACTCTCACAACAAGCTGGCCTTTTCTCTGAAAACGCTGCCTGGCCAAAGGAGCTGGCATCTGCAGCCATCTGGTATTTTTCTGAAAGCTGAGGATGTTTTTTGTGCYTGATCAGGCTCCAATACCAGAGTGATTCTTCTGATGTCTCAAAATCTGGATTGAGTTTCTAGAAGAGAGGCTGCACTTTGCCTGGGYAAGGGAAGCAAAGCCTGAGCATCTCCTTGGGCTGCTCTAACTCCWATCTCAGAGGTGCAAGGGTAACTTTTCCCTTCCGAGTGTGTCAGCCCCTCTCCAGCTGTGCTTTAATCCTTGTTTTCAACTCACTCTCTGCATAAGGATCTCAGAGAGCCTCCACAGCCCAGACCAGCTGTAGCACATGTCCTATGCGTTTGTGCTGCAGCAATTTGAAGTGCGCAGAGTTCTCTTAAAAAAGTCATGAGATCTTACGGAGGAAAAAAGTAATCATTTTACCCAAGAAAACTGCTCCTATTCCAGTATAAACTGCCTCCAAAGTGGAACAGTGGCGTGCCATGCTGCTGCATGGGCCAGCAGTGCTGAATGAATTGGCAGATGCTGTGCTGCTGTGTGATYTCTGGGAGCTGGGCTGTGAGAATGCTGCTCCTCTGCTCACAGCTTTGGTTCAAAGCCGAAAGAGTTTTGCCAAAAAAGTGCCCCCCACCCAAGCCCCGATGGGATAAATGGAGCCTCATGCTGCCAAGACTCRCTGGGTGCATTCACCTTACCCTCAGTGGGTGCTGACAGCCCCCACTCTTCCCAGAGCTGGCACTTGGAAACAGGATGTACAGACTGAYGATGAGGTAGGGAATTTCTCACCACTGCCTGCTGTTACTGGCTCTCTGGATGTTCATACTGCTGGCTCCAGGGAAATCGAGCCTTTCTGGGAAGTGGCTASTCCCTATCCTCTTTATACAGAAAATGTATTGTTATTATTTGAAAGCACTTTTGTATTGCCCTTAGACTACAAGCATGGCGATTGTTCCATTAGAAGACATCATGGTGCATAGCAGTGAAATACGACGTACAGTACCATGCAGTATGTATTTTCCAGATAAACYGGGAAAACAGTGAGATGGATCAGCAAAGTGGGGGTACAATAGCTGCTTTGCATTCCTCCACATGTGTGGAATTCATGTGCACTACAGAGTGACTCTGTTTYGTTCCCATGTGCTTACGATGATCGGATGATCCGTTGTATTTTCTATCCGGTTTCATTTTCTGCGTTGTGCTCGTGGGCCGGGCACAAAGTCGCAGCGGCTTCAGATTGAACGTGGCAATGAATTAGTGCTGGCTAAACCCTCCCACCATTTATTTCCACTGAGGCAGCRAGAGGGAACAGACCCAGCAGCTGAAAAACACAAGAGATTGTTTCTCCTCATCAAGCAGGGGCAGCTCGAGCCGCTTGCCAGATAGAAGGAGTTGGCTGAGATTGCAGACTCGGGGTTGTTTGATTGAGACTTCCCAGCCTGGAGGTGCATCTCCTCCTCACCCCACCCTGCCCAGGGAGCCGTGGGAGTGAGGAGCAGGGAGATGTGTCACTGTTCACAGTTCAGCTTGCGTAAGGGTGACTCTGGAAAACGCTGCCGGAAGGGAATCTGTGTCTTTCAGCGCCAGCTCCTGTGGGGATGGAAAAGCCCCGTCTTGGCCCTGCCTGGAGGAAGGAGCTGTGCTCCCATGCATGGTTCAAACGGCTCTTGGCGTGGCTGAAGGTGTCTGAGAAAGCAACAGAGCTGCTCCCCAGCYTGGAAAGTGTGTAAGTCACTGCTAACAGCCACCACAAGTGCCATGAGCTCTGCTCCATGGGCCAAATTCCCATGAGATGGCAAGATGGTTCATATCCTTGACACATATCCAGTAAAGCATCACATCCTCTCCCATTGCCTTGCATGCCTGGCTCTTAGCCCAAGATTTAGCTTTTAAAGAATAACATGATTAGCAAGGAGGGCTTTTTAAACCTTGGGTTTGCAGGGAGCAGGAGAAGGTACCAAAATGGGAACACRAGAACCAACAAAGCCCAACAAAGGCCCCCTTGTGCGGGCGGGGAGATGCAGCAGAACCTGTGTCCGGATGAAAGCTGCCCTATCAAAATAGCCATAAACAAACCCGCCTCCTCCGCTACAGAAAAGCTGTTGTGCCAGGAGCATATTAAATTGTATATGCTTTTTCTCAAGGCAAAAGAATTGCAGCAGTGACGGCAGCTGTGTGTGCTGGAGCCGAGCCACCGCATTCAACTCRTGGAGGCTTTGCTGAGGACGGGGTGGGGGAAGGACTGTGGATGAATGTATTATTCAGAGGGACCCACACTGAAATGATCTACCGGCGCTGGGGATGTGTGAAAGGGGGAAAAAAAAGCCTGGTGTGTTTGCCAGAGGGCAGCACAGGTGATGAGAGGCCAGGTTCCCTCCCAGACCGGGAGCCATGGTTTTATGGGAAAACACAAGATGTGTTTTGCCTTCCCCAGGTTTCCCTGGGGAGGTTCCAGGTCTCAGCCTCCAGGAGCAGAGCTGGGCTGCAGCCACTGTTCCGACCTGGATGGATGTGTCCAGCCTTTCCAGTGCAAGAGGGAAGGAGATGGGATTTAAAACCAGCGATGAGTAGGGAGATACAGGCAACCCCATCCCSCATATCAGTGGGCTCTGCTGATGGACACCTGGCTGGTCCCAGCTGTGGTGGGTAAATGGAAATCCAGTTGCCTCATACCCACAGGAAGGCTTGTTTCAGCCCTCTTTATTCCCAGCAGGGTGTTCCCTGCCTGGTTCCTGTCTGTGTCCCAGAGAGACAGGATGCAGAGAGCTCAGGACTCACCTGTGCTACAGCCACCACCTTGTATCAGCAAGGCCACCTCTGTGTGAGCATCCCCACAGCAGGGACAAGGGCTTGGAGGGATCCCTCTGCAACCTCTGAATGCTGAGGATGGGATTTCATCACCATTCACACCATCCCTGCTGCACGTGAACTGAGCCTTATTGCTGAGYTGGCTGGAGGAAGATCTCAGAGTTTGCTGCCCAGGCTTTTAGAGTTTAAACTCCTGGGGCTGTTAGA